TGTTTTAAACACGGTGAAGAACAACACACTACGGAGTGTACACCCACAGATAGTCTAAGAAATGTGTCTTCAGGTAATAGCCAAAAGGGACCTATGGAAAAAGGGAAAGCTACTAGGTGTACATTTCTAGAGAATCCAATTGAGGCTTATACAGGTTATCAGCGAGGTTTTGATTTTGAGGAAGCATATAGTGATTCCTTCTTTTCACATCCGGAGAATGAATATCTTGGTCATGCTTCAGAAAATGAGAATAGGGTTCCGATCTCGACAGTAGAAGACCTGTGGGACTCTGATGAAAATCGAGAAATTTGTCACAAAGCTTTGTTGATCACAAAAGAGAATTACTTACCTACAGGTAATTTGAACACTGGCATTGGAATGTACAGGAAGAGTAAGCTGCGGTCACACCATATGAGGACAAGATCCCAAACTCGCGAGGAACCTTGATCTGAGGTTTTATTATTGAGGGGGTTCTACTTTCAATTGTACTTGGGGTTGGTTATTTACTTTCTCGTTTTTTCTTTGTTTCTTTTTCAGTACTTTGTTTTTGTACTTTCTTTTTCATTAATAAAATATCTTTTTATCAAAAAAAAAAATCTTTCCAAATTATCTTTGTCTCACACGGAAGAATGAAGAAGGGGTCAGGGGGAATCTTCCTTCCAAGATATATATATATATATATATATATATATATATATATATATATATATATATTAAACTAGATCTCTAATTAGTTGGACTTTTGAATATTGACCCGAAAAATTAATGAGTTCATTTCATTGGATTTTTTTATTATTGGCCTGATAAATTAATTAGTTCAATTCATTTGGCTTTTGAATATTAGCATGAAGATTAATTAGTTCAATTCATTTGGCTTTTGAATATTGGCCTGAAAAGTTAATAAGTTTAATTCATTGTCCTTTGTTGGTGAAATTTAAGTAGTTCATTTATTTTACCGTATAGACTATAGATTCAAAAGAAATTTGATTTCCAAGAAATTGACCTAAAAATTTGTACTGAACATTTCAGTAATTGAGTCAATTTCATTTCGATATCTATGACCTTAAGATAATTAAATTGTCGGTTCGTAATATTTTTTTCTTTGACATTTCTCTGATATTATTTAACTACATTTTGTCATTTTGACATATTTTTGTAATATATGTTATTTAATTACATTTTGGCCCCACCTCAAATCAAATACTAGATCCGCCCTTGGCAATGGCAAACACTCCAACCAGTTCAACAATCGTGGGGTTTGGGCGGATAATAAGAAAATAAGTCGGGGAGCTAGTGGGCTGATATTTCGGAGACTTTTCATTCAATCCGGAAAAAAAAGAAAGGAGTTCTAGGGCAATACGACTGATTTTTTTGGGAAAGTACGGCAATACTAATAAAACTCATTCAATCCCATAATATGACTAAAAACTTGACTTAGCAAAAGATGACTAAAAGTCACCGATTTTATTGATTTTATATTTTTACTTTTAATTAGTTTTTACGGTGTGTTGTTGTGGTAATTGCATATTTACGATGCAATCATTTTATTTTTCTAGTTTGTTGTGATTTAGTAAATTTAGAATCGTCTTGAGCAAGAATAGATTATTGGCAACAAAAGATCAATAAAGGGATAGTAAAATATGACTAGATTTGGTCAGTATTTACTATTGTTGATGTTTATGTGTTCATACATTTGAACTAAAAACGCATATAGAGGTGATCTACAAATGTTCTCAACAACTATACTAAATAATTTTTTTTAAAAAATTGTAATTTAGTTATATGTGTAGTATAATTGATATATATTGTGTGCAATTAAAATGTTTAATTTTATGTAAACATTTTATGTAAACGCATATAGAGGTGATCTACAAATGTTCTCAACAAATATCATATAGACATTTTTTTTATTTTATGTACAATTAAAATATTTAATTTATAATTAATTTTATTTGGGAATATATTATTAAAGTAATTTTATTTATTCATATAGCAGTATTATCCGATATATCAATATTTATCTCTGATAAATAATGGCTAGGATAAGTCGTTTAGGTAAGTTTACACCAAAAGAAGTTTGCAAGAGCAGGTTATCCAACACTTTAAATTAGTTTGAGAAAATTCTCTAAATATGAATAAAATAATGACATAGTTCATAAATAGGACTATTCTTTAGGATGTTGTAATCAATTCAATCTTTTTATAGGACAAAATAAATCCTATTTGAAAAATAAAACATACTTTGCTTATTTTTGAACTTTGTGTATATTTGAGTCGTAAGTTAAGCAATTACTAAATTAGTTTCCAATTACATACACGAAAATAAATAGACAAAATGGCTTTTTATCTATCGTAATTCTTTTTAAAATCTAAAACCATAACCCTAGTTGCTCTCTCTAGGGTCTCTGAAGTTTGCCTCCTAGTGGATGGCCGAAGGATTCTAGGGAAGATGGTTTCCGTCCAAGTGCTCCTTTCTCGGAGAATGGTGGCAAACGCTCTTGGTGTTTTTTGTCAGAGGACTAAGGGTATGATTAATTTCTCTTCTTTTATTGTTGTCTTTGTTCTATTCTATGTCAGTTCTTTCCTAGGCATTGGCGCTTCGTGGTGTTTTGTCTCCCTTGATGCGGGGAGTTGCTTTGGTGTCCCTGCCAGTTTCGATTAGTCAGGAGTTTCTCTCTGCCTTCTTTTGGGCAACAAATAAAATGGTAGAGGCATAAAGGTCGTTATTTACTCCACCTATTTCTATGACTGTTAGAGAATATTTTATGGTTTAATTATTAGATTGGGCCAATTTAATGATTAGAGGCCCATTTACCTTAGTGCAAGCCCATTATAACGAACCCAACCTTCAGACATATAAAGTTTAAGGTTGAGTCTCGTAATCCTAAGTTAATTTCATACACATTCACGCACACTTTAGGCATTAGAGAGAAGCGAGAGCTCATTCATACATTGTACCGAAATTCTCCTTCATTTTGTATTGAATCACAGTTCTTTTATTCTCAGTTCTTAATATGAATTGGGATTTACAATGTCTATCTGAAACAAATAAAGAAGAAGAACTTAGTTTTCACTCATATTACAGTAGCCCGTCCTCCTCCAGAACCGCCTCCGTGTCAAGAAGAGTTTTGTGGAAAGGTTTTATTCTAGTATTATCTTTTCTTTGATAGTACTTGTATTTATTTTAGTTCGAGTAGTTTAAGTTTGAATATTTGGATATTTGGAATACATTTGTTATGCAGTGTTTCGCTTTCGGTCATTTTAGGCTATAAATTGCTCGTTTTGTGTCTAGCGAGTCAAGTTGTTTTGTATGAGGTGATTGACTCTAATTCTATTCTTAGGGATTACGATTGGATTTGTAATAACTATCTGAAGGTTGTCTTGTATGATGTTTCGATATTAACATAAAAAATTGCTATTTATGTTCAAAAAGAATCGATCATAAATTTTTTATTTTGGTTGAGGGGAGCTGATCAGAACAGGGGAGGCATTAGATGGAAAAGTTGACAAGCTCTCTATGTTCCTAAGTTAAAAGGGGGAACAAGATATAGATCCTTGAGAGAATTCAACGCGGCGATGCTAGGAAAACAAGCATGGCGGCTTGTTAAATATCCTAGTTCTTCGTTGGAAGGATATTTAAGACCAAATATTACCCTAATTCTTCTTTTTTGTAGGCAAATTTAGGAAATAATCCTATTTTGTTTGGAGTAGCATTTACAGGCCCAGGAGTTAGTCGGAAGAGGAGCCCACTGAAAGGTGGGTAACGGTCAGACAGTTTAAGTTTGGAGGAAGAAATGTCTGCTGAGTTCCGAAGACAGAATAATACATACGTCGCCACCGATCGGGATAACAAATATGAATGTCGCAGTCCTTCTGAACAAGACTAGAGATGAATGGAATATGCAGAAGGTGATGACACCCTTCTCATTGGATGAAAGGAAGGCCATTCTTTCTATGCTCATTAACAAGAGGAAGCCTACAGGTGAGTGGTTGTGGCCTGTGGGCAGAAGACTCTAAAGGTACTTACACGGTTAAGATTGGTTATAGAGTTCTTCAGGGGGATGTAATGTTAATGATTGGATGAGATGGACTAAAATGTGGGATTTTCAAATTCCTCCAAAAATAAAATGTTTTTCCTGGCAACTCACGGCGGGTGTCTTGCAGATTATATGACGTTGAGGAGGAAAGTAAGAATCATTTGTTTTAGAAATACCCCACAACTATTTCTGTGTGGAGGCAGATGGGATAAAGTTTTTGAGACAAGGCGCCACATTTGGGGAATGGATTAAAAGTTTTATTGATAATTTGCAGGAGGAGGAACTTTGTCATTTTATCTGTTTGCTTGTGGGGTGTTTGGAAAGCTAGGAATGACAAGGTCTGGAAGAATAAGAAAATCTGGTGGTGGCAAATTGTGGAAGTGAGGGCCTCTATACTGAGGAATTGGAGAGAGCCCAGAATCTCCAAGGGGGCAAGTGGGCGGGAGGAAGTTGTACCAAATGGCAACGTCTCGGGGAAGTTGTGGTAAAAATTAATGTAGATGCTCTCTTGACACTAACAGAGGAACCCGATCTTGGGCGTGGGTGGTCAAAGATGAAATGGAACAGTTCATTTCAGCAGGTTGCCAGAAGACCCGAGCAGAGTGGTCGACTGAGGTGACGGAGATTATAGGTGTCAGAAAAACGTTATCTTGGGTCAGAACACAACAGTGCCCAAAGCTTCAAGTTGAGACGGATTCATTGATGGTTTGTCGAAGTCTTATTTTGATTCAACTCTAGACAACATAAGACACATTCTTCTTATTGAAACAGAGATTGAAGTCATTCACTGTAGAAGATATGTGAATAATGTGGCTCAATTCTAGCAAAGACTACACTTTCTACATTGGATGATATTTTATATTTTTCAGTTCCACCTATTTGCGGTGTACTCCAGTTGGATAATTATTTATTGCAGTAATATATGATCACTTTCTACTAAAAAACAAAAACCAATATAGAATCAATTTGAAAAGTCCTTTACTCGAAGCAAAGCAACAAGAAATTTGTGAACTAACGCGTGGTCTGCGTCTCTCGAAGTGCGCGTGGACCTCCGCAAAAACGCTTCCAAAACTTTCCTTCTCAGTTTAATCGGAAGCACTGTAGAAAACCGTGCACAGCGCACAGTCCTTCCAAGTCACCTACCCTCCGTTCCACCCATCCATCGCAAATCCCGACCTTTTTACTGGGAGGTATATGTTTACTTTTTTCCCAAAGGATTGAAAAGGAGATGTATGAGTTTGGAGAAGAGTTGCTAATTGAAAGCTACAAGGTACCATGGCTAATTTGGATTCAGCTTCTTGTTATGGTCCTCCTCTTTCTTCTTCTCTTCTTTGGCTTCAGCGTTTTCTCTCTCGATCTTTCCAATAACTCCGCCTCCACTTCTGGCGCCGGTGGGTCTTCGTTTTCGGCCGGAAGTGACAACGGATTTGGTGACGGAAGGCAGGCTCACCGCCCCGAGCAGGTTAGAGAACTTCGTTTTTTTTAGCTACAAACTTTTCAGTGTTTAGACCGCCACTGACATTTCAGATTCCAGTGTTTCCTTCGTTTGAAATTCATGTTAAAATTGATAAAATTTCATCGCCTGCTAACAATTGCTTGTAACTATATGTTATCGAGAAGTTATATGCGTCTCCTGCTGGTAATAATTAGCTTGGTAAATCATTGTCAGGAGAAAAATGTATAAATAAAATGCATTGGGGTTTCGGTTGTTACTTGTTAGAGAATCTGCGCATCTTAAGTGTCTGTAGTTAGTTGAGACCCTCTCATATATGCACGCAGAGTGAACATGGAGGGTAATCACCCTGATAAATGATTTTTTCTTACATAAATTGTGATCTGTCATTCAATGAGATATTCAATTTTCATCCATCCATGATAAGCTGGTTTTCACTTCACCATTTTAGATAGAAGGAATGTGTTCTATCTGTATATTGAAAAATTGTAGTTTCTGTTTAGAATTCAGAGTCCCAATGGTTAGATATGTGCCATTGCAAAACTAAGTAGGGCTAATTACCTAAATATGATATAAACACATTCTTGAAATGTCATTTTCCTATTGTAATGCCTTTAAACATTTGAGAGCTATGCTACTTCCATATTTTAATTAAAAGTTTAAAACTTGACAGAAGAATCTATGATTAGGTTTGTTGGTCCAGTATTTGTTTTATTTCTTCTTCTTCTTCTTCTTCTTATTGTTATATTAATATTGAGTTTTCTTCTGGTTGGAGAAGATGGATGAGAAAGTATTGGATTGCAGGGGCAGGATGGGAACCATCATAACGAGGCAAGTGTTGAAGCAAGTATAAGCACAGACGTCATAAGAAGAGAAGAAAGGGACAATGGATCTTCATTTGTAAAAGATGAACTCCACCATTCAAGGCCTCCTGGGCATCCATGTCACTTTCTTGGAGTAGCTAAGCAAGCTTTCCTTAAGTGCTTGGGCCTGGATTGCTGTTCTGGAAGTCCTAACAATAGAAAACACGGGAAAGAAGACTAATGTGTGTTCCCTCCCCTTCTCTCTCTCTCTCTCTCTCTCTCTCTCTCTCTCTCTCTCTCTCTCTCTCTCTCTCACTCCAGTACTGTGGCCCAAGCTACAAACTTCCCACTTTGAACACTTTGGCTATGTTTTGTTTGACCTTGAAGTTTTGAAGGATTATTACATTTGATCAAGGGTATGTTTGGAGTCTGTACAATGCTAGGGAAAGGAAAACAAATGGATTCTGTTTGGATTTTTACCTTGATAGTTTAAAAATGAATATGATTGACTTGATTGCCATATATTTAGATCTCATAATCTTCAAATAATAGAGAACTATAAATAAATTAAATGTACTTGAACCAAAATTTAGAATGACTTTTTCAAGTTTGATCTTATATTTATTTTCTCCCTTACTTTCTTCCCTTGTTGTATTATCTCTACTTCCCCCAAATTCCCGGGGTCCAAACATACCTCAAACAATTTTACAGAAATATAACAGAAATATATGAATAAAATCAGTTTGGACAAACATTAAAAATTTAGTTTATTGAGTTTAAACACTTCTCCTCCCCCAAATATCTTTTGCTGCCGAATTTCTCATATATTTTCCTGTCTATTTTCTTCCGCTAGCATTTTCTGTGTTCAAAACAGACCGTTGTGTTTGAATGATAGCTTCCTTTGAACTTGACTTGAGTAAGCTTTTAACTGTTCAGCAGGTAATTAGCTATGGCACAAAATGATCAATAAGGAGAACCAGATTGCCCTCTTAATGCTGATGCTGATCACTATTTCCTTGACAGCCTGAATTCTAACCCTTTATATGTATGTACTGAATTACATCTCGACTCCTTCACATGCAACTGTAAGCTTACATACTACGGAGTATATAGCAAGCAACTGTAATTTTACATTGTACAATTTGTCTAACTACTCAGCTAATGATTCGCAAGCCATCAACCGTCATTTATATTTGGTTCTATTCAATTATTCATTGATGGTTACATAAGATCATCTGGCAGTTGCCACTTATCACTGTACTGAAGTGTGTTCTATTATATATTTCCAGAAACCATGTTTCATGTTTATGTCTTTCTTGATGCAAACGAATGGTTTTGTTTAGGCATAATAATGGGTCACAGGGTCAGGTAGGGGTGAGCAGTGCAAAACCAAGACCACCTCGTGATCTACAAGAGGGTGGCCCGTGACTTGCCCCATGCAAGGCGGGTTCCAGGGGCGGAGCCAGGACACTGGACCAGTACAAAGAATATTTTTGGAAAAAAAGTTGCACAAAATTTTTTACACTAAAAATAAAGACATTTTTAAAATTTGGGCTGGACCAGGGCCAGGTCTGGCCCACCCCTGGCTACGCCCCTGACGGGTTCGTGGCGTCCCAACTCAATTAGCTTGTACATACGTAGTATTATTTACGTGCATGGATTCATCATTGAAATTGACATAAAGTTTATCATGTTATCAGAAAACAAATATTCCCTCCATCCCGGTGGACTTTGCCAAGTGCAAAGTAGGTGAGAAATAAGAATAGTAAAAATTGTGTGGTTGAAATTTGTGCAGAGGAGAGAAATGTGTAGAATTACAAATTAGCTGCTTTAATAGGAAAGTGGCAAAGTTTTTTCGGACAATAAAAAAGGGAAAGTTGTCAAAGTTCAATGGGACGGAGGGAGTATAACAAACCATAGTCAAATTACAACAAGTGTCCAAATAAGGAAAAACAACGTATACTATCTTTTTTGTTGTACTTTCTTTCTTATAGTATCTCTTGTGTTAAATGTCAACAACTTTGACTAGGATGAGTTTGGAAGATGTGACCTCCTTCTTAAGAAACTGAGAGTGTCACAATGATGTCATCGAACCAAAAGATGTTTGGCAAACAACAAGAACATTTGGCTCAATATTAAAAAGGTGTTGACCATTAACTGTCCATTTGGCTCATTATTTAAATCATACAACACGAATGAACTTATGATATACTATATAGAGGAATGATCTTGTCCAACCGGAGGGACAGGATCTTCCGTCCGGCCGCCGCCGTTTGGGGCGGTTCCCGGTGGAGTTTTTTGGTGAAATTTTTATGGAATGTTCCTCATCAAGTCTAGTTTATCCACAAAATATTTCAGCTAAAATTCGATCGGGAAGGCAGTCAAATAATTTTTTGAAGATAATTGCCCCAACTTAAACATATAAAACGCAATTATGTTTCAAAAAATTATTTGACTGCCTTCCCGATCGAATTTTTAGCTGGAATTTTTTGTGGATAAACTAGACTTGATGATGAACATTTCATAAAAATTTCATCAAAAAACTACACCGGGAACCGCCCTAAACGGCGGCGGCCGGACAAAGGATCTTGTCCCTCCGGCTGGACAGGATCTTTTCCGTACTATATAAATACACACAGAGTAATGATCCTGTCCAGCCACATGGATAGATCCTTCTGTCCAGCCGACTCCAGCTGCTTCTGTTTAGACTTTAGAGTGGTTAACGATGCAATTTGAACATGTTCTTCATGAAGTTTAGATTATGTATACAAAATGTCACCTCAATTGAGAAGTCAGTTAAATAAATTATTGAAAAATATTGCGTCAAAAGGTTTCATAAAAAAATCCATCGGGTACCACCCAAACGACAAGATAGAGGATCTTTTCTGACAGGCTAGACAAGATTTTTTTCGTGCACACATATATTATGTACATGTATATTTATAAAATAATTCTAAAAAGATATTTGAAATATTATAAATATTCGGCGGGCAAGTCAGGACAATATGGGTCAATATTAATATGTGGACCCGCCTGATCGTGTGATTGGGGTCGGGCACACTATTCCCCAATCTCTCGAGGCAGGCGGATTTTTATGTGTTTGACTTTTGATGCGTTCTGGACTTTCGATAATTATTGTCAAATTCTAGATTTATGTTGTTGAAAGTTTTATGATATATGATCCGGTATTTCTCTTTAGATCATGTTCTCATTGGAATAAATTAAATTAATAAATTTGTCAAAATATCTTAGGATGTTTTTACTTGGACTATAATTTACTGGCCTGGTCTGGTCTGATTTGGTTTCTTTGTATTTTTATAACTATCCAAGTCTGGTCTGATCTGATCTGATCTAGTCTGGTCTGGTCTGGGACAAATTACAGTCGAAGTAAAAACATCCTCAATCATTTATCTTAGAGGCCGTTTGGGAACACTGTTTTTCGGCTTATCAACCAACTTTTTCATCAAACACGTAAATTTTGCTTTCGCGCGCTGAATTGTGTAATAAGCAGAAAAAGTTAGATTGAAGTTACTTTTCTGGCTGTATTGGCCGAAGTTACTATATATGACCATTTTAGCTATTTTTACATATAATTTTTTCTTTATTTTATTAATAAAATATATTTTAAAAATATTTTTTCCCTTAAATCAGCTGAATCAGCCAATGCAGCCACTTCAGCCAGAACTTCATAAATTTTTCCATATTAAATAGACGATTCACACGCACCTAAATTCGGTGTGGACAAGAATACCATTTGACATCAATCTCCGAAGAATTCACTTTACAGAAATACAGAGGTTATGAAGGTGTAAATTTGTCATTGAGATCATGAATATTTATTATAGATTAGTGCGTTACATATTCCGCTTCCCGGAAATATGGAAGTTCAATGCACAATCAATACTGGTTACCAAATAAAACTAGGACTATTCTTGGTGTACACAAGATGTACACAAAATGTGTACATTGTCTGTGTACACAGACAATTTGACATAAAGTCCTGCCCCTTTTTAAACGAATTGTCTGTGTACACAGACAACTAGGGGAGTTTTGTGTACAATTTGTGTACAACTTGTGTACACTAAGAATTTTCCATAAAACTATGCCTAAAATAGAAAAATGAAACACGCTATGTATAAAATGTATGAACTTGTACTTCACATAAAAGAATTTCGTATAATTAACGCACAAAAATTAGTATGAAACACTCCTCACTTATATAAAGCACCAAGATAAATATCTTAAATACAAAAAACAAGTATTTGATGCACAAAAATTAAGAACTTAGTTAATATCTAATGCTTAACGACTTCATACAATTTAAACTACTCCCTCCGTCTCTTAAAACTCTGTCATCTTTACTGTTTGGGACTTCTCAAAAAACTTTGTCACTTTCCCTTTTAATCAGGGATGAATTTAGGAGGGGGGGGGGGGGGGGGGCGACCGCCCCCATTGGACTTTCAAATTTTTTTACCATATATATAATATTTTCATAAAACTTTCATAATTTAATTAGATTCGCCCCCCTTATCTTTTAATTTTCAAAATTAATATATAGTGTTACATAATGTAATACTTAATTGAAGATTTAAAAGAAGGAACATCTAAAATAATTACATAACTTAAACAAATAAACAATAGAATAACTCGTTGTTTAAGATTTAGGATACTTATTATATAAGAATTCCTAGTTTTGTAGTGTTTAATTATCTTTATTAGATAACAAGTACTTGATTTTGTAAAATATATATCAAACAATATTAAATATCAGACACACTAATTACACAGTTTTTAGATCACGTGAAATGAATCCAAAATATAAATGTTTATTGACATTAAATTACATAATTCATTTACTTCTTGCTTTCTAAAAATAATTTATTGCATAGATAATAAACTTTAAATTATTATAGCATTAATACAAATATTAAAATATAATGTGCACCATATATGTGTGTGCATGTGGTGCATATTATTCTAAAAATAATAATATCATACATACTACTATTGTAATATTAAGAAAACTTCTCATGAGTCATGACTCACGAACACCCTCCTTGGTGGCCAGACAAAATTTACAATTCAATAATAACCGATTCATGAGGTTAAACAATGTAGAAATCCTGGATCCGTCCCACTACACTAACGAAAATTTTTTCACCCCCTACACTACCGAAAAATTTCGCCCCCCTGAAATAGAAATCCTGGATCCGTCCCTGCTTTTAATCCATTATTTTGTGGTTTCTGTTATTTCTATCTTCTCTGCACAAACCTCAACCACACAGTTTTTACTTTATTATTCTCCGTGCCGGTCAACAAGGGACGAAGGTAGTAGTATATAACACTCAAAAGTCGATATCTAATTGTAACGCCCGTACTTTTATAAACTTCTTGTGTGCTAATTAATTATATATGTGATCATGTTTTAACTTATGGTTTGAATACTATATATGTGAAGTATAGGGATATCATGTGATTATGAACTTGGTGATAATTGTATTTGAACTTATATACTTGAAATATGTTTTATCATAACATGCGACGGTACCTGATGAGCAACAAAACTACACCATAATAATCATTTTTATTTCGGGTGTAATGGTATATTAAGTTAGTTGTCATGTTAGATAGTATTCGGGTGTTTAAAATGTAGTTGAAAAGGTCATTGGGGGTCTAGGATGGGATCGGCAACAATCGGGGTCGGTTTAGGGCGAAAAAACGCGTTTTCAGTACCGGGGGAGCCCTGGACCGGTGCCGATGGGACGCAGACCGGCAACGGTCTAAAACAGAACATCTGGGGCGGTGGAATGGCAGGACAACCGACGCCGGTCAGGGGCAAACCGGCGCCGGTCCGGGCGATTTTGCCCAGTCGGTGCAGGCTTTTTTAAACGGGAAAAATTCCCTTTCCCCAAAATGAAGCGCTACTCGACTCCATCTCTCTAAGCTGATTCCGAACCCTACCTAGACTAATTCAAGCCCAAATTAAATCTATTCTTCATCAAGGATCATCACTTCGTAAGATTTTACACTCAACGTGAAATATTTCTTCCATATTGTGGTCTATAGTTCTTGTTTTTGGTTCATGCAAGGTTGATTCTAAGAAAATTAATGGATTTTCTTGATAATAAAGTTGTTATGGAGTTGTTGTTCATCCTTGTTTAAATACCTTGTGGGAATTAAGTATCTAGTTACCCCAAAGTTTTGCCTGACTATGTGTAGGTGATTGAGAGTTTTCTTACTCTTTAAGAATTGATTTTTAGTATATACATATGGTTCTTGATATGATAGTAGTTAGTTAAGTTGATGGTTCTTGTTA